TGGCCATGAAAGCCTTCGTCAACACAATGGAGGAAATTCTTTGAGCAGTCCTTTGCATAATAACCTACCGTTTCTCAGAAAGTTACCCCAACCTTTGAAGCTAATTTTCAGAGATGGATTTTCTGATTTGCAAGAGTCTGGAGGAAAAGGTAGAATCAAGGGGCGGGGGGGGGGGGGGGAACCGTTGTCTTCTATTCCAAGTGTGACTGTCCCTATCTTGGAACTCTACTGAGGATTCACCAATGGGGGATATCAAATCAAATCATTTATTTTAGTCATAAACCAGCACAGGAAATAAAAGTCACATTTTCATATGAACTTGGTACATTTAGTATATTTAAAATGTAAATATAAATACTGAAGCACAATAGGGGGTGAGGGAGCAGAAGCAGGGGGGGGGGGGAGGTATAAATATATGAAACTAACTTCCGAATTTATTTCCATAGAAGGTTTGCCATTGCCACCCTTTTAGGTGGAGATAGCATGACTTGCTCAAAATCACCCAAGTAGGGTTTTCATGACTAAACCCTGTTCAGTCATGAAAATACTGCTTGGATTATTTGAGCCTTGGCTTCCTGAAGTCCAATACTCAGAGTAGTATACCATACAGGCTCTTCTGCTACTATGTAAATCAGTGGTTCCCAACCTGTGGTCCATGGACCACCAGTGGTCTGCAAGAATAAAAAGATGGTCCACAGTCTCACCATTACTACACCATTGCCTCAAAACCACTGGTCTCACGAAACCCTCTTATAGTGCCGAGGCAATGCAGATGTTGGGATGTGAGATGCTAGCTACCCATGAAAGATTACTACCACTACATCAGCTCTAGATGATAAAATATGGTTTTCTGTGAGCAACCAAATGACGACTGCTGGATGGCATATGTTCTGTATCAGAAACTAGACCTGATGTGGTCTATCCAATGCAATTTTCTGAATCAGCACCCCAAATAACCAAACTAAATGTAAAGTTGACCAAAAACTGATTTGTAACCCTTTTGGTACTAACGTTGGAGAGTGGTCCCTGGTCAAAGTCGTCCCTGGTCAAAAAAAGACTGGGAACCACTCGTGCAAATGCATATACTTAAACTAAATATGTATCCGTACTCATGGTATAAGATTTTTTTTAGAAAAGCATTAGTTGAAAACCAGTATAGGGTCACTGGGGATCAATATGTTACTGGATAAGTCCTGGAACAGATTGAAAGACCATTGGAAAGCTATGAGCCAAGCACCATGCTTCAATCTAACCTATTTCACAGAGTAGATTCATCGGGGGAAATGGAAATAAACAAATAAAACAATGCATTTTGTGCCCTAAATAATTACTGCAAATGAAAATGTCTTGTATCATAGCAATTGTTTTGACTACACTACACAATGGAACTTAACAACCAAGTATGCGGAGATATGAAGAGGCTGAAGTGGAAATCCAAGTAATGGAAAGTCAGGGTCGTTTGCTGCAGAGAGACTCCCAGCAACGCTGCACACACGCACACACACACACACACACACACACACAGAAAGGGAAATCTCATCAGAATTCAGAGAAAGCTGATAATAGTGGTTGACATCTGCTCTGCAACAAACTAGAATCTTATCTTTCAAACTTTGGCTAGACTGATTTTCACTTAAACATACACTCGATTAGGACCTCTCTCAAAAAATATGCAAGGGACACATTTAAAGACTGTTTCTTTATCATATTTCTTTTATGTAAATCCTATGAAAAATATATTCTGTATAGGATACGCTGTACCACAAAACTTAAATAAGTTTATTCTAAATGTAAAAAGAAAGTACTTTGTGCTTTTGCATCTGCAACATTCAGTTCTTAGCATATGACAGAAAGAAAACAAATCATATTTATCACAAGTGAGAAGTTAATGCCAGGCATTAAAAAGAGCGACAAGCAATAGGCGACAGGCAAGAGATTCAGACAGAAAGGAAATCTTAAACGAAATTATTGCAATGCAGTAAAAAGAACATAGAGTCCCTATATAAGAGGTCCATTTTGGTATCTAGTTATTAATTTAAAATGCGGATTACTTGAAACACATATTGAGCATTTAAGAGCAAAGCCTCACTGATTTGGGTTGCTGTAAGTTTTCTGGGCTGTATGGCCACATTCCAGAAGTATTCTCTCCTGATGTTTCACCCACATCTATGGCAGGCATCCTCAGAAGTTCTGAGACCTCACAAACTCTTCAGGATGCCGGACATAGATGTGAGCGAAACGTCAGGAGAAAATGCTTCTGGAACATGGCCATACAGCCTGGAAAATTTTCAGCAACCCAGTGATTCTGGCTATGAAAGCCTTTGACAACACACTGATGTGTTCTGTACTCCCTAATTTTTTTCCCAAAGGTCTCCCTTGATTATCCATGTGCTTAAGATAAAATTGCATAAAGAAATGCAGAGAGGCAGTATTGTTCAGGGATGAAAACCATTAGGATCTGCCACCATGAAACAAAAAGAACCTGAAAGCTAAAATCAGGGACTATCAATTATGCTACATAATCTGGTGTGTTCTCTACATGCAAGAGAATAAAACCCTCTCTTTTGAACTCGGCTCTCAAAGCATATCATAACAAAAAATTACACACACACACACACAAAACTATTATAGTGCCATGCAAATGTATTTTCATATGTGGATAACTTTCGAAAACACACTATTTGGCAACTATGAATGCCAACAACGGCATGATAGGTCAGGAGGAAATTATTAGGACCTTGCTGGGAGTTTGCTGCATGTCAAATAAAACTCCTCAATGCTGCGCACCTACTTCCAAATGTTTGGCCAGGAATGTATTAAGTGTTAGGAAAAGACTACCCTAAACTATAGCAGAGCATCCAAAACACAAACAGGATACTAAAAGTTAAGCATTCAGCTCATTAGCCAGCAGAATATGAGGTGCCGTTGGTTGTGGCTGCTTAGGAAGGCAAAGATGCAGAGTCCAATCTTTAAAAAATCACAAAAGATTTATTTACATCAAAAAGGATAACTGCATTTCTTAATGGGAAAGAAATGGGTCTGAGCCCTTTAACACCCATCTCTTCTAAGGTTTCAAAGAGAGGGAAAAACACCAGTCACTACATCTCTCTGACACACATGAAGAGAGAGATCTCAAAGCACACAGCTCACACTCTTCATACTAAGATGTAAGAAATAGAAGTCAAAGTAAAGACTTGTAATAGAAAAGTATCCATTTTATACACAACCAATTGGAATGAGAGCAGTAACAGAGAGGAGAGAAGAAATAGATACCTTCTTAACTGTCACACAGGAGACATGTGGGAAGGGAAACCCTTAGCCCAGTGGTTCTCAACCTTCCTAATGCCGCAACCCCTTAATACAGTTCCTCATGTCGTGGTGACCCCAAATCATAACGTTATTTTCATTGCTACTTCATAACTGTAACTTTGCTACTGTTATTAATTGTAATGTAAATATCTGATACACAGGATGTATTTCATTCACGGGACCAAATTTGACACAAATACCCAATGAACCCAAATTTGATTACTGGTTGGGTTGGGGCGGGGGTTAATTGATTTTGTCATTTGGGAGTTATAGTTGCTGGGATTTATAGTTAATCTACAATCAAAGAGCATTCTGAACTCCATCAATGATGGAATGGAACCAAACTTGGCACACAGAACACCCATGACCAACAGAAAATACTGGAAGGGTTTGGTGGGCATTGACCTTGAGTTTTGGAGTTGTAGCTCACCTACAACCAGAAAGCACTGTGAACCCAAACAATGATGGATCTGGACCAAACTTGACACAAATACTCAATATGCCCAAATGTAAACACTAGTGGGGTTTCAGGGAAATAGACCTTGACATTTGGGAGTTGTAGTTCCTGCGATTTATAATTCAGCTACAATCAAAGAGCATTCTAAACCCCCACCAATGATAAAATTGGGCCAAACTTCCCACACAGAACCCCCACGACCAACAGAAAATGCTGTGTTTTCTGATGGGCCTTGGAGACCCCTCTGACACTCCCTTATGACCTACCCAGTGTTCCTGACCCCCAGGTTGAGAAACACTGCCTTAGCCTATTCTAAGCTAACTAAACTGCTCCTCAATGAGGACTTGAGACTTGGGCAGTTCAACTCCAACAGTAAGGATACACCAGTTAGAAGTAGAATCCCAATAAGAGAGTGCCTGGACCTTTGGATAAAGAAAGACAAGCAAACCACCTCACTTTTTCATTCTTATTTGCTTTACAAAGTAGGAAGGATAAATATAGCATTCAGACTTTCCCTGAAGTTTGCTTCCTTCTTGCCAATGAAGGGTGAGAGAAGAGTGTCCCAAGTTTGGAGGTAGGATGCAAGCAGATCCCCAGCAGGAAGGGAGCCAAGAACCAGAAGCTAAAAAGGAGGAAGGAAAAGGAAAGGCGACAGAGGAGAGAAAGTTCTGTGTTTTTGTGAGTTTTCCAGGCTGTATGGCCATGTTCCAGAAGCATTCTCTCCTGACGTTTCACCTGCATCTATGGCAGGCATCCTGCTCCTCTGACAAAGTTCCTTTGTCAGAGGAACAAACTCTACATCCGGAGAAGCTCAAAATGAGCAGCCAAGCCAAGAAGGGTTTGGTAAACCTCCAGGTTGAATCTAGGTTTGCAGATGCTCATTCCGCCCATGCAAGCAGGTGAGACAAGAGATTCTATCCTGACTCTTTATCCAATTTTCCCAGCGCTTTCTGAACTCAGCAGAGTGAAGGCAGCCTTGACACTACTTCCAACGCCCGGGCTCAATGCGTTGAAATCCTGGACATGGCAAGGTCTTTCGCCTTCTCTGCCCATGAGTGCAAACTACAGAGCAATGGAAGTGGCGTCCAGCTGCACGCCTTCTTCTCCTGGGCAGCCCCAAGAAGGGCTTGGCTCCATGGCAAAGGGTCTGCCTGGCAGGGCAAAGCTTCCCCCCGCCCTGCCTCCCTCCCTCCCTCCCTCTCGCCTTTGCCAAGAGATTGAGACCCAGCCTCACCTCCCCTCGCCAGACGCTCTTCTCTCTCCCCAGAGAAGGACGGAGTTTCTCTTCTGCCCCGAAGACGAGGTAGAGAAGGGATGGAGAGGCAAGGAAGGAGGTGGCTTGCTTCCCGGCTTCTCCCAAGTCCCGGCAGAGGAGGAGAAAGAAAGGAAGGAAGGAAGAAAGACACAGGGAAAGAGGAGAGAGGAAGGCGGCCGCCAAGAAACGAGGCGGGTCGGAGGAGGAGTGCCGCCCTTGCTGCTGCTGCTGCTTCTCCCGAGGCGCCGCCCCCCTGAGCCCCCCTTCTGAGCCCCTTTGGGCGCCTAAGACCCCCCAAGAAAGGCTCTTCTTGTCCTGGAGGGCTTCCTCCTGGGAATGAGTTTGGGATCAGCCGCTCCGTCGCTAAGGCTGCCTGCGCCCCAAGGCGGGGAAGCGGACCCGCGTTGCTGCACTCGCTGGAGACTGGAGCCAAACCGAGGATAAGACAGCAGTGGAAGTTAGGAAGGGTCCCTGGCACTATTGCCCCGCTTTCTGGGGAAAGGCGGGACAGCCAGGAAAGCGGATGGGAAGGAAATCAACTCCTTGGCAATGTGGTGCTGGAGGAAAGTTCTACGCATTTTCGCAGTCCATGGTGCTGCTAAAAATGGGATCCAGAATGCCCGCTCTCCCACTCCCGCCCTCTCTCCCTCACTCTCCCTCCCTTCCTCCTTCCCTCCCTCTCCCTGTCTCTCTCTCCCTCTCCCTCATTCTCTCCCTTCCCCCCTCCCTCCCCCTTCCTCCACTCTCTCCCTTCCCCCTCTCCCTCTCTCCCTCCCTCTCCCTCTCTTCCCCCCTCTCTCTCTCCCTCCCTCTCTCTCCCTCTCTCTCCTCCTCCTCTCTCTCCCCCCTCCCCTTCCCTCTCTCTCTCCCCCCTCTCTCCCCTCTCCCTTTCCCTCTCTCTCCCTCCTCTCTCCCTCTCTCCCCCTCCCCTCCCTCCCGCTCTCGCTCCCTCTCTCTCCTCCTCTCCCTCCTGCTCTCCCTTCCCTCTCCCTCTCTTCCTCTCTCCCCCTCCCCTCCCTCCCGCTCTCGCTCCCTCTCTCTCCTCCTCTCCCTCCTGCTCTCCCTCCCCTCTCCCGCTCTCGCTCCCTCTCTCTCCTCCTCTCCCTCCTGCTCTCCCTTCCCTCTCCCTCTCTTCCCCCTCTCCCTCCCTCCCTCTCCCCTCCCTCCCTCCCTCACTCTCTCTCCCTCTCCCTCCTCTCTTTCTCCCTCTCTCTCTCTGCCTTTTCCTCCCTCCCTCCCCCTCTCTCCCCCTCTCCCTCTCTCCCCCCTCTCTCTCCTCCCACCCTCTCTCCCCCCTTTCCCTCTCCCTTTCCCTCTCTCCCTCCTCTCCCCCTCTCTCCCCCTCCCCTCCCTCTCGCTCTCGCTTCCCTCCTTCCTCCCCCTCTCTCTCCTCCCTCCCTTCCCCCTCCCCTTCCCTCCCCTTCCCCTCCCTCTCTCCCCCTCTCCCTTCCCCTCCCTCTCTTCCCCCTCTCTCCGTCCCTCCCTCTCCCCCCTCCCTCACTCTCTCCCTCTCCTCCTCTCTCCCTCTTCCCTTTCCTCCCTCCCCCTCTCCCCCTCCCTTCCCTCCCGCTCTCGCTCCCTCTTTCCTCCTCTCCCTTGCTCTCTCTCCCCTCCTCTCTCCCTTCCCTCCCTCTCTTCCCCCCTCTCTCCCTCCCTCCTCCTCTCTCTCCCTCTCCCTTCTCTCTTTTTCCCTCTCTCTCTCTGCCTTTTCCCCCCCCCTCCCCTCCCTCCCCCTCTCCCTCTCTCCCCCCCTCTCTCTCCTCCCCCCTCTCCCCTCCCTCCCTCACTCTCTCCCTCTCCCTCCCTCTTCTCTTTCTCCCTCTCTCTCTGTTCCCCTTCCTCCCCCCCCCCCTCCCCCCTCTCTCCCCCCTCTCCCTCCCTTCCTCCTTCCCTCCCTCTCCCTGTCTCTCTTTCCCTCTCCCTTCTTCCCCCTCCCTCTCTCCCTCCCCCCCTTGCTCACTGCTTCTTCCTCACTACCGGTGCTGGCAAGAACCCTATGGGTCCTTCCACACAGACATATCACCCAGAATATCAAGGCAGGAAGTCCACAATACAGTGCTCCCTTGCTACTTCATTGTTCGCTTTACGTGAACTCACTGATTTGCAGATTTTTAAATAAATATTTATATAAAATATTTATATTACAATGGGCCTCAGAAAGAGAGGCCAGTGTGTGGCCCCTCATGTCCTGTCACTTTTTTTGCTCATTCTATCAGTGGCTCGGGCTTCGAATGAACGTGCTTTGTCCTCCTCCACATTCCAGGCAGGGACACAGCCTGCTGAAGGTCCCGATGCCACCCTAGGCCTGCCCTGGCAGAGCAGTGGCCTGAGGCGCAGTGGGGAAGGCCTGCCTCCCTGGCCTGCTGCTGCCTGTGTGGCTTCGGAGGCAGGTAAGGAAGCACGAGGGCTAGAATGCGCAGGTTGCTTCTCTCCCACATTGAGTCAAAGTGAAAGGGAATGCACCTGACTTCACTGCTGAAGTCTCTTTGAAGACACATAACAACACCTACAACAATCATCCAGGTAGTAGGTGAACTCAAGGCAGCACAAGAAAGTCCTTTAGTACTGCTCCCTGCTCACCCAACACCTTCTTGTCTGTGGCAGTCACCTCAATATGGGTTGGCCCTGTGAGCTTCCCTCTTCCTGTAACTGCTCAGTATCCTCTGCTCTCACAATGCTTTTCTCACCATCAAAGTTAGACTAAACTTATAAATGTTATCTCAAAATTCTGCAGCTGGGATCATGCGGTCCTTCATTTGACTTTGGCAAAAATTGAAAACATGGGATTTTGTGAGTTATTTTTTCATAAAAACAAGAAATACTAAATAGCTGTTTTTGACCTCTCAAGGTACTACACTGGATAATCTGGTATGAGAAAACTGCAGCCAATTTTTTGAACAATTCAGCAGAAATGATGCTTTCATTCCTCTGGTGAACCATATGTTCCATATGTGCTGTTTATGAAACCTTGAATGCCTATGCCATAATTGTAGAGGATGAAGCATATTAATACCATCATGTCAAAATAATGTTTGGGGTCATCAAAAGATTTTGCAACCTAACAAAGCTATTTCACCTTCAAGATTCTTAAAACCAATATTGACACATTAGGTTTCACCTTGATTCCTGTAATCTGTTTTTTAAAAATCCAGCTTTGTATTTTCTTCTGCATCTCAGTCTTGCCAACATCACTTTCTGACAATATTTGTGTCTGTTTATTCAAAATGTTTCTATAATGCCAAGGCTACAAGCGCAGTTTATAATTTGTTATACTGAAGCAAACAGACAAACAGAACAGATTTCTTTCATGTTGAATGAAACTCTTTACAGAAGTACACTGTACTTTGTATTGTTGAAGGCTTTCATGGTCGGAATCACTGGGTTGTTGTAGGTTTTTCGAGCTATATGGCCATGTTCTAGAAGCATTCTCTCCTGATGTTTCATCTGCATCTATGGCAGGTCCTCATATGTGAGGTCTTCATAACCTCTGAGGATGCCTGCCATAGATGCAGATGAAATGTCAGGAGAGAATGCTTCTAGAACATGGCTATATAGCCTGAAAAACATACGACAATCCAACAATGTACTTTGGCTTGTTTTTCTCTTCTTAAAAAGAAGCTTCATGGTGTGAGCTTCTCCTCTTCGTGTAATGTTTCTGTTTGTTCTGGGTCATAGGAGATTATTGTGATTCTATTCTTTCCCAGACTTCATTTATCTTGTCATTCCAGAAATGTTAATTTTTTTAGTTGATTTATCTCTTATCTTATGTACTGATTTTTTGTGGGGGTCCATTTCTTTACTCTTAAGCCTTTTCTTTACTCTTAAGTCTTCCCTCTGTTGGAAAGCTGTTGTTTATTTGCCATTTCTACTTCTGAGAGGGTGTCCACATTAGACACTTACAGCAGTTTGATTCCACTTTCACTGCCATGATGCTATCCTAGGTTTTGTAGTTTGTTGAGGAACTCAAAACTCTTTGCTACTCCAGGGCATTAGATAGAAGTCCCTTTCAAAACTATAAATCCCAAGATTCAATTAGTCAAAACCATAGAAGTTAAAGCGGCCTTGAATTGCTGTAACTTTGCAGTGTATATACCAGTCCTAATCATTTGGATTTTTTTTCTTGTTGGGATATCCTCCATTTTCATACATCTTTGAGTTTCTTGTTTTAATGGGTTATGTCTACTCATATTCATAGCACACCCACTGAAACCAATTGGATAATTTACTAATAACTTACATTTTGATGATTACAGTGTCCCTGTTCTTCTCTTTGATGTTGCACTTATGAACCCAACCCACTCATCTTCATTATCTTGTTAATCTATTTCTATCTTCTCTTCATTTTCTCCTGCCAATGATGCTACATTTCCACAGTAGTGGGGTGGTATGCTCATGTGAGGCAGTTACCAAAAATTAGAGTAAAACTAAAGGAAAACACCAAACCTACAATTCTGTCAAACTACAACCTAAAAGAACATTCCCATAAAACTAAAATATGTAAAATATGTATTAACCCTAATTGTCCAGAAGCCAGAATTCCACTGGACTGAAGCCAGGGATGTTGTCAGACAGGGATGCTAAAAGATATTATCAGTAGCCAAAAATAAAGAAAGCCTAAATGGATTATAGATAATAATAATATATTTTATTTACATTCCACTCTATCTTCCCGACGGGACTCAGAGTGGATTACAGAATACATATATGGCAAACATTCAGTGCCATTATACAATTAACAACAAAGACAGACAGTACACAGACAGAGGCAAGGCTTCCCTCTTTCCATCTGCAGAATCTGAGGCTGTGCTCAACTCCAGCCATGGGGAAGTGCTCTTGTTCTATTTTCCACGCCGAGGAGCCCGTTGATCATGGATGCCTTCTTGATTGAATTGTCAGCATGTTTGCAAGGGCGCCTTTTTACCTCTCCACCAAAGCAGTAACTATTGATTTACTCAAATTATTATTTTTGAACTGCTAGGTAGGCAGGAGCTAGGGCACACGGAGGGAGCTCACCCTGACCCACGGATTGAACTGCTAACCTTCCGGATGGCAAGATTTTCTGCAGCTGGTAATTTAACCCGCTGTGCTATCACAGTCTGAACTCTTCAAGCAGTTGTCACTAAATAAATGGGAGAAAAGATTAAAGCTCACCCCCATGCTCAAAAAAATGGCTAAAATATTATGTATGTTGGAAATAGAATCAACAGAAAGGGACTTTTTACCATATGCGGTGAACCTGAAAGAAAGCAAAATAATTCTGGAATAAAATGTATAACATGATGCAGATGACTCTTAAGGTAACGTTCAGTTGAAGCCGGAACTGACCACTGGATGAACAACGAGAAAAGATTAATGGAAGATTGCTAAATCATGGTCTCAAGACTGTTGTTTGTACCAAAGTGGAAGAATACACTTGATATTTTTTTTGATTTAGCTCAAATATACATGTTAACTATTCTAACAAGAGATAATATTTTGTGGAACAGTGAAACAGTGGCATCCATTCACTGCATATCTGCTAGGCAAAAAGGATAAAATGTTCATTGCAGGATTAGAAGATATATACAAGTAGTATGAATAATAAATATTGTTGATATTATGTAA